AAAAAAAAAAAAAAAAAAGAATACATGTATAATAAAAATTGAATATAAAGGTATTTATTTTCTTCTTGTGAAATATTATGTACAATAAATAGTGAATAGCTAATAGAATAATAATTATTGTTAGAATATCAGTTGTGAGTTGTCCCACATCGTTCATATATGAAAAATAAACCCACCTTATAAGTCTAATGAATTACTCCTCCTTACAGATATTTAAAATGAAGCACATTTTTTACACTCAAATTGTGAAAAATAATAATTATTTAGTTACATTGATTATATTTTGACATGCTTTGACATGCTTTGATATTAATTTCATATTCATCTTAATTTTTATTTCCAATGTAAAATTCCATAAAAAAAAAAAAAGAAAATGTAAGGTTGTTTGACTTGTTCATAAGATATTCAACGGTTTTGCTATGAAGCCAACAGTTGGCTCTATAGTGGACCAAAACTTTTTATATACAACAAGTAAACCTATCATATTCTCTGATTACTTAATAACACTAATATAATTAATATAGTATATTTATTTGTTGTATATAGAAGGTTAACTCTACTATGGATCCAACTGTTGACTTCATAACAAAACTGAGATAATCATAACATCAAATTATTGCATAAATTGGAGGATATCATGAGACAATAGTATAATTTGGACGAATAAAAAATTATATCCTACCGCCACATAATTCATTACTTTTCATAAATCTATATAAGAAAGCGGCAAAAGTCAAAAGTCAAGACCAAGCGACGGCCGAAGGGTTAGAGAATTATGCGAGAGGCGGCCAGTTGGGTCCACCCGGTGTTTTATTTTAACAACCAATCATAATTCATAATTAGCCACCGTGATTTTTCTCGTAAAATATGTACGATCAATGATATACATCTCCGGGATACGACTTTTGAACTCTCATCAAGATTCAACGCAAAAATTAATTATAAAGAATACAATATGCTATATGATTTTTTTGAAAAAGTAATGCAAGAACTATTTCATGTGAACTATTTCAAGTTATATATGAATTATTTCATGTGTGTGGTATTTATAAATGTAGAAAAACATCTCCAAGAGCTTTAAGTGTCAAAAGACACCTTTTGCGATGAGCCTGAACGAGAACAGACGTATTTAGAGACAAAAAGATATTTTATGGTCACCAAGGGTCGCGACCCTTCGCTGACCACGGCCAGCTGCGCGACCTCGGGTTCGTACGAGCTCATCAGAATTCGGAGTTGAGTTTCATTTATTCCTACACATTCTCAAAGAATCCTTCTAGAGTTATAGCGTACAAGTTATATGATCAGGTCTCGCTTGGATTATCCTAACATTCGTCAAAGACAGAATGTTTTGCAAATCCAACTATTTGAGTTACTTAAACTCAATTACTTCAACCTTACATTTCTCACTTGTACAACTTAGAATTAATTTTTCATTCGCGTTAAAATAGTTTTAAAGTATTTTATAAGTCTTTCACTTACTAAAGATGAAACCGTAAAATCGGTACAAAACTAATTTGTTACAAAATAATTAAAGTTTACGAGGAAAGTGAGCGGTGGCAAATCCCATAGTTGCCTCGTTTTTAGGCCACGGTAATTTAATTAGAAATTGGTTTGGTGTTTGTTTGATCCAATTTGCTATAATTTATTAGGGGCAATGCTATATGTACACCCCTTTTTAATAAATTACACAAAGGGCAATGCTATATGTACACCCCTTTTTTACACACAAGGGGTGTACATATAGACACCCCCTTT